CATCGCCCCCGACCAGTTCACCGCCGACTAACTTCGCAGTATTCGCAATCATGTGAAGGCAGCCTATACAGTTGGGTTCTAGAAGGAGCTCTTATCCACGTGTATGACAGCTGCCCGCGACTGAGCTCGCCTTCTAGCATTAGTGCGACCAAAAGCATCACACCTTCACTGTGAAGGAGTGGCTTCGCCAGCATGGCGCGCTTTCAACGAAGGGAACAATTCACACCAATGTCCCGAGCGCCATCGAAACATTATGGGAAAGAGTAGGGATACCTTTGGTGGAAATAAGAGCCGGGAATATGGGCGAGAAACTCGTCAAATTTCAAGAGAAGTGGAGGAAGCTGCCCTAGTAGACAGTGCATTCAATGACTGATTCCTTACTTAGGCCTTGTTAGTATTTCAGCGAACCCAGAAGATCATTAACAAAGTATTGGACCTGCCCAGTGTTATTCATCATGCGTAAGATTGTTTTGTTGAATTGTAAGCTTGCTAGAGTAATTTGAAACTTACTTGGAATTTGCTCATACTCGAGAATTTCTAGTGAAATGATTTTTTCCATTCTTAATTCTTTCTCCATCCGAAACAAATGTGCCGTTTAAGTGAAGTAGGACTGTCTCCATAACATATTAACATATTTGAAAATTTGAACTGATTTGATTCAGCAGAAAAAAGTTACAGTCGTTGAAAGCATAATCAGCAGAGACTTAATGACGCTACTGTAACCTTGCAAGCCGCAGGATGTTTGTTTTTTTGGCGCTGTTTCGTCAAGTGCGAGAAGTTCTAACACCTTTTCGACGATTTTAAGAATATAGATTTGTTTAGGATTGATTCTCACAGCGGTTCAACTGCGTTGTGATGATTCAAACCACTTCTATCTCGAAATAGGATTTATCATAATCCCATAGCGATATTATACCGTTAACCGATTTATCGATAGGTAGCTGCCCAATAAGAAAATCTTGTCGTTCTTACATTGTGTTTTTTGATAAACTCAGGAGATGTAGTAGAGCGGGCTGCCTTGCCGGCGCCCAAACCTGGATTGTCACGTCAAGCGGATATTTTATCCAAGCGTGCACAAGCAATAAACGTTCTCGGGGTGAATTGTTTCCAAGCTTGTCCGGGAGGATCGGCTCGCCCGCACAACTCATTATATAGGCTAAATTCGAACGCTTCATGCTTTTGCGTATTTCGATAACACACCTCAAAATCCTACAAGGTGTTCTGAAATTACATAGGCTCGAATAGAAAGAAATAAGTCTACGACACATTGTTTTTCGCATTTAATCATTAAAAGGTGCATTCGATATATACTTCACGATTATTCAATGGAAGGCCTGAGGCAATGGCGGCATTCGAAAGGTGACATCTAGTGAATTACCTTTTTAAAACAAAATATTGATGCTTCTCCGAGCAATTTATCGTCGGATAACAGTACAAAAAGAATTTCAGCTCATTCTACTGCCATCATCGGCGTGTCATCGTCTCCAGTCATGTACAGAATGTTTATCGATGGGCGACCCTGAGTGTATGCGCCCCATGGGTGCTGCATGGAGATTGAAGTGTGTGCGAATCAGTGCGCAACTATAGTAAGAACATTTATATCAAATAAGAAAAGCATATTCGCCAATCTGCACGCTGATGATATAGGACGCGACGCATTTATGCTCCATTTTGACCGATGACAATTTGCGGCGCGCAGCGGTAGAGCGCCAACGTAAAACCCATTTGATATTACTCCGTGACGATCTTCTATCATCCCCACTCTGGTTCACAAATGTGTACTAGTTGTTCGTAATAACTTCGTACCCAGACTAGTGCGCCGTCGGAAACTGAACTGATTATCGCTACAGAGCAGGAAAGAGCGTAACTATCAAACACGCGCGACTCAACTTTCACGTATATTGGAACGCAATAAACGGTTTTTGCGCCACGCCCTTTCATAGGAAAATTCGAAGACGGTTGTTCCAGTAGGCGGTCACTTGCTGCGAACCTACTTGGATCGAGGAAGACTATGGCGACAAAGAACCCAAATTCTGGGGGTCTATTCCAGTTAGGGGGGGGGAGGCATCATGATGCAGTTTCTCGGCGAACTAGTGTGAACTCGAACATTCCAGCTTTTCACGCATGTCAAGTGACTGCCCTCACACCCCCCCCCTAGACTGGCTACACTCCCTGGCTCGGAGTTACCGTAGCTTTCTGGAAAAACTGCATCACGATGTCACCCACCCCTAACTGGAAATAGACCTCAATTTTTTCGCAGCAATCATGAGCGACAAGCAACGAAGACCATGTTCACAAGGGCCGGCACTAACTCACTTGGGAGAGTTAGGGGCACGCGACGGCGCGACGCTCTGCCTGCGCTCTCTGCTCAGTGTTAAGTAACGCCAGTTTTAAGGCTAATCCTTAATAGGGACTTCAGAGTGCGTGAACTTTCATTCCCCGGATTCGCAGATTGTTCCAAAGCTTAGCCTCAAGGGCCAGCTTCAGGCTACTAGTGCCCACTAGTGCCCTTGTTACGCGTTAGAAGCCCCGAATGTGTCATGAGCTGCACGCTGCACACGACATTGGTCCTTCGTGGGGGAGGGGAACTGTTTCAATAAAATTACTGTAGGAGTGGGTGTGGTATTTGGTAGTAATTAGTTACCAAAAGTTTCACGGTCATTCGCCTTTGAAAGTTTTTCGTTATAATGCAACGTCTTTACCCAAGAACAACCGCTACTTTTCAGCCGACGCGAATATTTGACGCAAGATAAGGAGAAGTGCAGCATCCAAGTGATAGAAAAGCCTACAACCACACCGCAGCCATTACTCCAACGTAAGTTTTTGATAATAGCCTTACAAACCAAAAAAAACTCCGACTCCGGGTGTCTAGAACTTCCACTTTGTTTTATTCGCGGCATCTTATGCCGTGGCCTCGATTTCAGTAGGTCCTTCTTGATACGTCCCTCCACCTCTTCTTTGGGGCTCCTCGCGGTCGCTTGCCTTGCGCTTCGAAGTCCATCGCTGTTCTTATCGGGTGGTCCTGTGGCCTCCTTAGCACATGCCCATACCATCGCAGACGCTGTTCCCGTACCTTCAGCTGGACAGGGGCAGTCTGCATGACCGCTCTGACATCCTCGTTTCTGACCCTGTCCAGTCGCGTCCAGCCGCAGGCCCACCTCAGCATCCTCATCTCAGCGGAGTGAAGCTGCCTTTCGTGATTCTTGTTCAGGGGCCAGCACTCGCTGCCGTATAGCATCGCAGGCCTTACCACTGTCCGGTACACCTTCCCTTTGAGCGCTCTGGAGCACCTTCGATCGCAGAGGATTCCAGTGGACTCCCTCCATTTCATCCATGCGCGTTGATCGAGCCTTCACTGCCTGATCCACACTACCGTCGGCTGCCAGATCGCTCCCAAGGTATCGGAAGCCACTCTTCTACTCTTCTCTCCATGGCCATCCACAATCGGCTCTGTGCCTCTTCGCTAATGAACTTAGTCTTCTTCACGTCAGAGCCCACCCTCTGAACGCACTTCCTGCCCTACAGTTCTTCTCTGCAATTCGCTATCAGGGCGATGTCATCGGCCGTAGAGGATGGTCTTGGAATGCCTATCATCAATCCTTACCTTAGCTAGGGTTAGCTGACAGAAGGGCTAAAATATAATGAGGCACTCATAGTGCAGAAGATATGGCTTCCGCTGAGACTGTAATCTTCGCAGAATCACGTCGCAAAATGGTCTCCAGGCTAAAAAGTAGGCTCGGGACAGGCTAAGGGCACGCTCCGGTGGGCTCGCTTATACTTTTTTTTTTTTTTTTTTTTTTTTTTTTTTCTCGGTAGCTAGAAGGATAAGCGTTGATGTCGCGTCCCTTTCGGGCTTGAAATTGCACGGCAAAGGTGCTGGATGCTGGCTCGACCCGCAACCCACACCGTCACCCGGAAGCGCCTTCTGCGGTCGGCTGCCACGTAAGGCCGATGTCAGACTTTGCGAATCGCGCGATTCGCAAAGCCTGACATCGGCTAATGCTGGAGAAAACGCGGGCGCAGTCGCGGCTGTGATTGCATTACGGTTCAATGACACTGGCACTGGAGCAACTGCAGCTAGGTTTGTGAAACTCGTAAGGTGAAATGCGGTTGAAATACACGAGGTGCTCATTCGGGACGTAATCGGGGTTCCTCTTGCTTCTTCTCTTCCAGACCACTCCCCTCAATTTTCATTACTGAAAGCTCTTCCACACCCATTTTATTCCGAGCCTTACTTCAAAAGGCATCTTCATCTAACAATGTTGAATTTTTAAGGTAAAATGGAATGTGTTTATGCGAGTCACCCACACAAGTACCGTGCACCACTGAAGTGTTCCAGAGAGAAGTTGTCACCAGTACAGCTGAATTCCGTGAGTCACACTTGATAGGACGGGATTTTTTGACCAATTTCTTATCTAGCCGATTAATTTTTTTAGACTCTCAATAAACACTAAAATGATCTCCCTTGTTGCCATCACGTTTTTGGGACATTCACGAATCGCAGCTCCAGCAATTATTAGATATCCTATGAATGAGTGGAACTGCTGTCAACAGCACTCTACGAAGTGACGGCGCAACTCGCACAAGTCTTTAAAAAGAAGTGCTGTCCCTCTAGTGTAGTCCTGATTGATCCCGTCGGAAGCTGGCCGGGGGCGGACGCAACAACGGCTCTCATTGATGGAGGGACACTTGGAGCAGGGTCGGTCCTATCGTTGTTACTTTTTGAAAAATTTTTACGACCCCCTCCCCCAAGGTGGATTTGGTACGACCCCCTTTTCGACCACCTCGACCACCATATCCTCTCTATAGTATTTAATTCTGGTACCACTCAACCCACCAAACTCCGCCCACTTTTTCCTCCAAAATGCCGTCGAGCGGGGGGTATATACCTACCCTGGCGGAGGAGCTTTTACGCACTGAAACGGCGAATTTTTCTCCCGCGCGCTCCCAACTCCCAACCTATACGACCCCCCTCCTACAAACTCAACCAGGTACGACCCCCCCGTTGTTACTAGTAACAACGTAGGGTTGACCCTGCTCTGGAGACCTTTGGGTCGTTGAGGGATGTGACCCGAACCCTCCCGCTGCCTTTGCACCAATGAGCGCCGTGTGTCCATTGCCTCTAGTAAGGTGAAATATAAACCTTTCAAAGACGGTAGAAGACCGTCGCCTTACGACCGCTGTGTGCGCTGACAACATTAGAACAGGCTCAAGTGCCAGTAGTACATCAGGGTATGGCATTTTGGAAAAGCGGACCCATGGGCCAAGTTGCAGTAGTGGCATTTTTATCACCAACACAGCAACCAAATAACACCTTTTATGCCAATAATCCTTACTTGGGTCATCAACTCCATCAGAGCTTGAAGGAGGTCCGCAATAGCTGAGGGCGGTGCTGCTTTTTGATGATGCAGGTGCCACTGAACGTACACTGAAAACTGGGTGAACCACCTCTTACAAGGGAGGTCGTTCAGGGTGTGCCAAGCTTTTTCAAAATGGTTTCTTGCATGACATTGGGGCACATATGGGGACCACAGAAGCATGGTTCATTTTTCCTGAACGGCCCTCTGAATACCAGAAAAGGGGTCCCTAGTTCGATTCCTCGTGGTGACAAATTTTTGCATTTCGAGTTGACGTTTCCAAAATTCGCGCAAAATGGAGTTAGCATGAATAATTAGTAGTACCATATTCATGATTAGGACCGTCAGTAACCCTTACAAATAGACTTTGATTGAAAAACTGGTGAAAAAGGTGTGACTAGGGACCCCCTTTTCTGGTATTCAGAGGGCCGTTCAGGAAAAATTAACCATGGTTCTGTGGTTCCCGCATGTGCCTATCATGCAAAAGACCGTTTTGAAAAAGCTTGGCACACCCTGAAAGACCTTCCTTGTCAGCGCGCTCCTTGGAGATGTAGTTGGTGCCGCCCTTACACCAATGACGTCCAACAGTGCTATAAAAAGCGCACCGGTCTAAAGCCATCGTGATCACTGTTCCCATATATGACACGCGCGACTGCGGTGCGGGTCGCAATAGGCCTGTTTGCTCAGTACGCCGATTATGGTCATGCTACGGTCCATACCGAGACTAGTGACATAAAGAAATGTGTTTTATAATATTGATTCTTTTTTGCATTTTGTGGCCATCAAAATACCATGTAGCCACATGGCCTGATACCTGCTTAGATTTATAACTGTAACAAGTATAACACACCGATTTCAGTTAACCCTTGGGCCTGGTTTCTGTTTTGCATAGGACTCGCGTCAGGAGCGTTGCTGAACCTCATACTAACAAGGAGCAAGTGAGTTAAAAAGCATATACATATTCTCAAAATTGATGTCCAAGGCAGCATAATTTTAACTCTTGAGCTAAGCTATACCAAGAATGTTCAAATTATGTCTTCTAT